CTTTTGCTCAGTTGTCCATATCCATAATGTTTTAAAATTATTTAAAATTTTAATCCTGATCTAGAGTTGTTTTTCCATTAATTTCTTTCTCTATTGTATTGGATCTGATACCAGTGTTGGTTGGTTTATTTATTTCCACTATTCATATATTTCCAAATTATGCAACTCTGAGTGGTTCATAAGATTAATATAAAATATAATAAAAACATAAAGTCATGTTAATAACAGTCATAAAATCAAAGTTGAATAAAAATAGCTCACTGCCAATCCAGTGGTGTGCAAATGCAGATGTTGGTATCCAAAGGCTTGGAAGAAGAGCCAAGACATAACAACTTTCTATAAAATAATTAAAGTCAGGCCATCTGGATCTGGAGGAGTATGTGCAAGTCATTTGGGGCAGTAATAACAAACCATCCCCTTCAGGTTCCCAACCCCTACACTTCTCAAGCTGAGAGTACTCAACAGTGCCTTCCCAGGCAAAATAGACAGGTCAGTTGGAATTAACTTGCAGTCTATCTGCAAGTTGACAGTCCTGCAGATAACCAGATCCCATGCCCTATAGAGCTTTATAGTTAAAAAAAAGTGACTTGTACTTGGAATCTATTGGGAGCCAATATACTACCCATAATATAGGTGCTATGCTGCTAAACTAGCCTTTATCTATCAGTGTGGACTGCTGCATTCTCCAGCAGTTGTGATTTCCAAACAGTCTTCAGCGGTGGACCCAGTGCACTGTGATAATCTAATCTAGAGGTAGTAAGAGTGACTATAGCCAGAGCCTACTGCTCCAAGGATTGGTTCACCAAAGTATTCAAATATTTAGTGGAGTCAGCCTTGAATGTCTGAATTAAGCAATGTGAAATATTACTTATGCAAGCAGTCATTTTATCCTTCGGTAGAAACAGCTTCATGTATATTCATGTACTTAGATAATGTTTATGTATAGATATTCGTATATGAATTCCTTTTGTTCCCTTGGAGAATAACCTTTGACTGAAATTAAATTTTAGCTAATTACACAAACATTTATAAGGCTGTTGTCTACATTCAGGTCACCAATAAAATTATATCAGATCTAAACAAAAAGAACCCTTTAGAGAACTTTGGTTAGTAGATTCATAATCAGTTAGGGTATAATTGCTAATAACTGAGTATTCAGTAATTCCTTCTCCAGTGGTATTAGTGTAGTGTAGTCATAGTAACTTAAAAGTGGCAGCTTTCTTTCTTCTTTTTTTTTTAATAAAATTTTTTATTCTTTACAACAAACACAAAACATACATAAACAA